ACATCGCCCCAACGGTAACTAAGTTCTGTTGAAGTTGTGAGGCGTCGGAACTCCCGATGAATGCCTGGAACTCCCGATCGCCGGAACTCCCGACTCACGTCGGAACTCCCGATCCTCAAGCAAATTTGAAAACCATGTGGCGAAGTTAAAGAATATGAGGTGCCAAACTCCCGACACATGCCGAACTTCCGACCATGGAACTCCCGACTTACGTTGGAACTCCCGACCCTCAAGGCTTTGGAAAACAAAGCCGTTGGCCTCACAGTCGTCCATACGGACACGTCCCGGTATGACCTAGACAAATGAACTCTCCAAATTATTTAAATTGCGAGACGTCAGAACTCCCGACCATTGCCGGAACTTCCTCCGGTCGGAACTCCCGACATACATCGGAACTCCCGATTTAACCAACACGAGAACAACACTTTTTACGATTCTTTGGGCAAATCTGGGACACGTCCCAGTATAGCTGCACCAACAAAAATAAAGTTAGCTCCTTTGTCGCTCAAATACTCAAAACTTACTTGGGTTGGCTTGAGCACTTATGAAACATTATCTATCAATATGATGCATCCCTCTTAATAGTATGGCATTCCTATTTACTCAAATTTAAAAGTATAACAAATTTAAACCTTTTGAGTTGCTCTTTTTGAACCGAAGCCGTGTATTCCAATCTTCATCAAGTGAGGGTGCCAACATGTTGATATTAATCTTTTTCACTTGAGCATAACCATCTTGAGCACATGACTTGATTCCATTCATCAAATTTGAATAATCCCAAATGTATCAAGTCACTTCTATCAAACACTCCAATAGTGATTTGATCCTTCACATCAATATGACCATCGTAGCTTGATTAGTACCTCAACTAAATGCAAGTACTTTCTTCTTCACCCTAGCTAGGTTCTTCGGCCGCCAAGCCGTCGCTTGCCCTTCTCCCTTGCTTAGTACCTCGAAGCCTTTCCTTGCTATCTTCACCATCTCAAGCCATCAAGTCACATCTTGTGTTGAAGCATCCATTCATTTGTATTGTTGTCTTTTTTTTTCATTTCAATTTAGCAAGCTTCAAATATGAGACCATTCCATATGCAATCCCTTATGTCTCATTAATTAATTCTCACAAGCTTGCTTTTACATAGTACATGGAAATCCCACAATAAACAAGCATAAGCATGAATTCCATTTGCATTGTTGTCTTATGCTTGAACTAGATTGTTTATACAACAACACATTATTTTGGCTTTCATTAAGTACCTGTGAGATAACCTATCACCTGTCCACACTTAGCAAACGGGTTAGACCTTTAATCACGTTGTCATTCAATCATCCAAAACCCACTAAAGGGCTAGATTCACTTTCAGTAAGTCTTGCGAGTACATTGTGTACTCAGGGGTTATTTTACCCCTGTTGTAGGTGCAGCTTGAGGAGTAGCTCTTGTGTGGAGGATTTTTCTGGTGGGTACAGACGAATCCTTGTAGCGTTTCCACTAGATGTTTATTTTCATTCCGCTGTTTATTTACCGCACTCTGAACTCTGGTATTATAATAAATAATTTCCAAGAACACTTGTTGTATGAAATGGACTAAGTATTGTAAGCTCGTACTCATTATTGGATTCTGGATGTAAAACGTGGATTGTTTCGAGTTCTCCCTTGGGGTGTGCTCGACAGAACTGTCCGATGTAGCTCCATTTCGTGGTGCTTAGCGTCTAGTGGAAGACGAGCGTATCTGAAAGCGTGTTACTTCAGGCGGTTCTGCCACATTTGACACCTATGTTTGCTAGTTACTTGGGTCTAGATCCTGATTCTTCACCTGATCCTTTGGAACCTAATTGACGTAAATATAGTCTTGTGCATCAATGCTGTGCATGTCATATAATTAATCTGATTGTTAAATATGGATTAGAGAGGTTGAAACCTTACCTAGAAGATTTTAGAACTGCATTTAATTTATTGAATTTCTCTAATCAAAGAATTGCTATGTTCAAGAACTACTGTAATGCTAAGGGTGTTAGACCTAGAAATTTTAGCTTGGATATGGATGTTAGATGGAATGCTACATACCTTATGCTGAAACACTTGGTTTCATATAAGGAAGTCTTTTATGTGTTCATTAATTCTAATTATGGATCTGCACTGTTGACTCCAAACCATTGGTATTGTGCTGAGAAGATTTTAGAGTTCCTAGAACTCTTTTATGACTGCACTGTTGTTCTATCTGGTGTTTATTATTATCCTACCAGTCCACTTGTGCTGCACCATGTTCTAGAGATTGCATCTCATTTGCTTGCATGTGAAAGAGATCAAAATCTGTTGCATGTTGTGTATCCCATGAAGCTTAAATTCCTTAAATAATGGTTCATATGCATTCATTCTTGATCCTAGAGCTAAGATGAAAGGTTTCTTTAATGTTCTCCAAATACTTGAACAAAGCACTGGCCATAAGTACAATTCATACTACAATGATATGAAAACTGAATTAAATAAATTATTTAAAAGTATGAAAGAAAGTTTGGTGTAGCTAGGTCTCAAATGGTTGCACAACCATCAAACCATATAGGTAAGAGAAAACATGCTTGGGGGAGAATATTTGCAGGAACATGTGTTGTTGGTCATTCCCCTGCCACTTCATCTTCTTCTAACTCTATTGTTTCTGAACTCTCATGCTATTTAGACAAGTGACTGTATCACTTCTTATGAGGATGATTTTGACATACTTCTCTAGTGGTGTGACCACAATCTAACCTATCCAATCCTATCTATAATGGCCAGTGATATTATGTCAGTTCCTGTGTCTACTATATCTTCAGAATCTTGTTTCGGATTGTCAGGCAGGATCATTGAAGAGCGGGCGCTGCGTTTGTTACCTGAAACTATTGAGATGCTGACTTGTTTGAAGGACTAGGAGCTAGGAGAAAAGAGGGAACAACATGCTGTCAACAACAAGGAACTGGAAGAATCATTCAAGAACTTGTATCTTGATGTTGATGAAAGTGCTAGTGACTGAGAGTGAGAGAGTTAGAGTGTGACGGAAAATGAGAGTTGCTTTTGTGTGAGTTGAGAATGAAACTTGTCACCACTCACATGTATCATTTGCATTTGAACAATGGTTTGTAACTTAATTAAGACAATGTAAAGCTGGCTGCACTCTTTTTTTTCTAGGATTTCTCACAAAGGTGAGTTTTACCTAGAAAGGTTTTTAATGAGGCAGCATTGCACAAATAACTCATTCTGTTATTATCTAAGTCTTATGTGTTCTGTCTTCTCTGTGCTTTCCTCTGATTTGAGTTGGTGAATGAAAGTATGAAACTGTGACTTGTGAGTTGATCAAGTGATATGATATTCTGTGAATATTGATTAAAATTTATAATTGTGAATGATCAATGATGATTGAAAATGTGAAAATATTGAAGTATTTGAGGAGATGAGTTTTCTGGGGTGTTTCATATGAACCGGGCTATGGGCTGGCATGGCCCGCCAATTTTGCCGTACCTGATGGACTGGCACAGCACGAAAAAAGGCCCATAGTGCCGTGCCTGGACCGAAGGCCAAGCCCGCGTGCCTGATAGGCACGGCTCGCAGGGCACGGCGTGCCTTGTCGGCCCGATCCCCATTGGTAAAATTTGGACCGGCCCGTTGCCCATTTATAGTTACAGGTGGTTTTCAAAGTTAGTTTTGTCTTTTTCTTTTTTATTTATTTTGGCTAAGTATTTAAAAAATTATAATAAATCATAGAAAAGTCATAAAATAGAAATTCAATTTAGTTGGACTCCACATGAGTAGATCTACATATTAAACATATAATATGGTATGCTTTAGTACAAAGTTTTTGCTGTAGCTTTAGATCTATGTTTTTCTGTAATTAATTTATAGTTGCAGTTTCTATGATTCAATTGTTGTGAAATTTTTATGGTGGTCTAATTATTGTATGCTTTAACTTTAGTAAAAATTTCATACTCGTTTCTATTTTTACACACTTTTAACTAGTTTCAAACTATTTAACAAGCATAAAACTAAATAAATATATAACTCAGTTATACATGATCCAATGAGTATGAAATTTTTACTACAGTTCAATCATATAATAATTAGTCCACCATAAAAATTTCACCACAAATGGAACATAGAAACTCAAGCTTTGAATTAATTGCAGAAAATCATAGATCTAAAGATAAATAAAAAACTTTGTACTAAATCATACCATATCATATATTTACTGTGTAGATCTACTCACGTGGAGTCTAATAAAATTGGATTTTCTATTTTATAATTTTTTCTGTGATTTACTACGACTTTTCAAAAATTCAGCTCGCAATAAATTAAAAAGAAAAATACAAAACCGCCTTTGAAAACCACCTATAACCTAGTCAGGGAGGTAAAATGAACGGTTTTAAAAGTTGAGAGATGTGGTTTTACCTGGTTTTAGAGTTCAAGAAGGAAAACTAGACTTAGAGGATAGTTTATGAGGTAAAATTCACTTTTTTCTTCATTTTACTGTTGCGACATGCAGTCATCCTGTAATGACTGTGTGATGTAAAAATCAGTAAATGTTTTGATCGTTTTGAGTTCCATAAAAATATATAATTCATGACTTTGGATTTGAGATGTGCGCTACGATCGTTTGACTGGGATTTTTTTTCCTGAATTGGAGTGCCTCAGGGTGAGGGGCGAAATTCTGGTCCCATTTGTTGCTCAAAGAAGTCGGAGTGTCGGACAGTGCAGTGCGACGGCCGACGGGTGATTTTCAGGGATTACCATGTCGCGTAAGTACAGAGCAATAATCACTCCTGCACCCTATAACCTAGATCCACATTCATAGTTGTTGCGGGCACAGAGAGTACAGAGATCCAACTGCATACTGATTTGACTAGAGCAAGTGCCAAAGCAACAACGGGTGATCAAGATCAACATCGTCATCGACTAGCCTTCGTCGTCCTTGGCAGAGCAAAAGGAAAAATCCTCTATCATCGCCGAAGTCCCGTTCCCCGGCCCATGCGCACATTTAGGACATGACGAAGCGATCCTTCTTCACGGTCAGGAGGATCTGCGCGTCATACGCCGCGACGGCATCCAACACCGTGAGGTGGCAGATCACCTGCGCACCAGCCGCCGCCTGCTCTCTCACCTCCTCCATCTCCTCCTGCAGCGAGCCCGCGCTGAACTGTCGGGGCGGGTCGACGTCGTACACGAAGTAGCAGGGCTTCGTCGGCTTCACCGAAGACGAAGAGCGGTCAGGATTTTTCAGTAGCAGGCGCAGGTCGCGCTTCCCCAGCATCCGGCCTCCGGCGGCTGCTATGAGGTCTCGCATGCGGTCTCTTTTGTCAGGGCTCATGAAGTCGCTCAGGCAGAAGCACAGTCCCGAAAACAGTTTCGGTGCCTGCAACCATATCAAGTGACAAGTGAGTGAAGAATCAGAACGCAGCGATCAGCCTAGGTCCACGAATGAATGATCTCCTTTGTTGAATGCTACATACCCCTTCACTTGCTCGGATTCTCCCCTGCTTCGGCCCGTCGATTGCTCCAAGTGAATCCATGGCGGATGCTGCTACCTCGTAAGAAGCCTCTGGACCTGGAGCGAGCTGCAAGCAGTCCGCGACCCCTAAAAGAGCAATGCAAGGTCAAAAGCATCAGCACCGGACCAGGACTGAATGAAGGAGATAAGATCGATCCAGCAGCTTGTTCAAACAAGAACTAAAACGTAGAGACACAACAAAAAAGAAAGTAGTATAATAGCTCATCTATGGAAATGATCCAGCAACAGAAAGGTTAGATACTAACATCCGAAATGAACAACCCATTTCCCAAGCAGTATTGCCATAAGGACTTCAAATGATCTGCTCCATGAGCTACCAGCACCTTTGCCCAAAACGACATGGGTCACATTTTCGGCCCACTCTTCCGTCAGCGTCGCCTTGGTCCAACACGCAAACTTTTGCACGAAGTCCTGCCCAACAAGCGTAGCAAATTGATCATCAGAAGCAGGAATGGAACAGAAATATTTAGTAAAGTATATACAGCAAATAGTTTCTTGTACCAAATTATCCATGAACAAAGGTGGATACAAATGGAACAAAGGAAACATGTTATGCAACTATGACGCGCCTAATAAAAATAGGCTTATTTTGATACTTTATTATATGCTACCTTCTCTTCCACACTTAAAGAGAAACCAAGCAAAACTAACTGATCAGAAGGCCAGCTTGATGTGTCATGCTGATCTGATTCCATTTCTTCCCCTTGGCAAGCTCTGGAAATTTCTTCTATGTCTGGATGACAGCTGGAATGATGGGATAAAGGAGAAGACGATTAATTAGTGACTGTTCAGTTTGCCAAAAAAATAATAATAATGATTGTTCAATGACCTAGAACCTTTACATTATACTATCTCCCAAAAGGATAAAGACCTAAGAAAAATTGTGAACCTCTGAGGCAAGGACAAATTTGAGGTGTTACTCTTGTGTCTTTGTTGGTCATACCTTTCACGATTCTTAGATATTTTTTTGTCATATGAATGCTTAGTCACGAGAGACTCAATTTACAATTACAGAAATCAAGGATTAAAGAATACTTTAAGTAACCAGTAAGTTTTTAATATCTTAAGAAGGGAGAAGAAACATGACATACCCCAGTGGCAAGGAAGAAGAACTTGAAATGTGAAGCTGATCTATTTGCTGGTCATCCCTTGAGCTATTGGTGGAAATTTCTTCTTTTTGGGAATGTATGCTAAGACGAAAAAACACAGAGATTATATATTAATCATACGAACTACAATATTTACTTATCACACAACAAAGATGAAGAAATCACATACCTGTGTGGCAAATAAGGACTTGAAATGGTAAGATGATCTGTTTGTTGATTTTTCCTTCCATGACTGTCAAAAGTTTCTTCCTTTTCTATGTAAGGGCTGAACCATCAATTACAGAAATGGAAATGGGTGATTTATAAAATTGTAATGAACCTTACACTATCTCCAAATTAAGGTGAATAACTATCATGTACCTGGAGTTAAGCTGATCCGTTTGTTCACCAACCCTTGAGCAATTGGTAGAAATTCCTTCTTCGTGACAAGGATGGCTAGGGAAAACAATACAGCACAGAGATTATAGGTTAATCACATGGACTCTAATATCTATACTGTGCACAACATTACAATTCACATACCTCTGAGTCAGCGAGGAAGCATTTGAGGTGTTAAGCTGATCAGTTTGTTGATTGTCCCTATTATGATAGTCAAAATTTCCTTCATTATCTGCACGTCGTCTGAAACCATGAAACTATCGAAATGAAACATGGGTGTTTACTAAAATTACCATGAAGCATTACTTTATCTATAATGGTGAGAAATCTCATGTATCCCACAGACAAGAGAAAACTTGTTATGTAAAGCTGATCAGAACCGCAAATGGTCGCCCATATGCAATACAAGTTTTGGAACGAAGTGGTCCAATGGGGAAAGTTCTCAAATTTTCTGAACATTTGCCATAATGGTTCGATTTACAAATGGTGGCAGCGGGTCAGAACCAAATTTGACAAGAGCGAAAGGAAGTTTACTGATGGGCTCATTTTCTATTTTGGTGTAATTTGTGGAATGGTATAAATCGGACTTTTCAAAACCTGGCAAAGCAACCGGAAGAGGTGGCCTTTCTAACACTCCTTAGCAGTGAGTAAACTTCATTATGGGTGGTGTTTCTAGCGTCGTTTGGGATGTCTTCAGCTAATCACTTTTTTCTCTTCTCCTGTATGTTTCCTTGTTGCCCTTATTGAAGTGGGTATTTTTTTCCTAGTTGGGATCTATTGTGTTTGTGTGCAGATGCTAGTGGTATACTCTGTAGCTTTTTAAGTTGTGTGGGGCCTGCACCCTGCACTCCTGCAGGGCGCTAAGGACCTGTTTGGATCCACTGTGATTATAATAATTAGCTGAAATAATCTAACTGTGATCCAAACAGACTAGACTATAATATGGATTATCATAATCAAAACACAGATTACAATAATCCTATAATCCACCTCAGACCTACTTTTTGGTGATTGATACTATTTGTCACTTGAGACAAGAACAATCCACCACAATAATCTAGGAATCCAAACACTTCGATTATTATAGTCCATAATCTAGATTATAGTAATCCTATGTATAATCCAGATTATAAGTTCTAAACAGGGCTTTAGTTGTATAGTCATTTTTTATTTTTTTATCTCCTGACATTCTAATATAATTTGCAGAAAATCTCTTATCATCCTTTTGAAAAAAAATGATCATCGACCTCCTCTTCAGAATCGGCAAAAGATTCTACTTTGTGTAAACATTGGCTAGAAAGAAAAAAATACAACACAATACAGAGATTACATGAACTGCAATATCTATGAATCTCCCAAGAAGGGCAAAGAAGGATCACAAAACCTTTGATGCAATGAAGAAGCATTGCAATTCTCCTTTGTATGTGTGCCCAGCTTATCACATGGTAGAGCATTTGAAACATGTTCAGGGCACAGCACATAGCCATCCTACCATGTAAAATAAGCTTGTCAGAACATTACATTGGTCATTGGTGGTAAAAAAAAATACAAACCATTGCATCAATAGCAATTAGTAAAAGAGATTACCGCGTCCCAGCGGCAACCAATTGTCTGAACTGCACATGGAACGTGAAAACTCGTGAGGCAAGGATCGTAATAACAACCAAGGGCTGCTCCCTTGACTCCACATCTTTTGCATCTCAGTTTTGAAGCACGTCTAATTTCTGGCTCAAAGTTCATAACAATGTCACCCTTAAACCATACTCCAGAAGCCCTTAAAAAACACAGAAGGAACAGAAAATGAAAGGCCATACCACCCTAGAAGCAGCCCTTTAGATTAACACTAAACTGAACAGACAAAATAAAGACAACAAGGTTGCATCTTAAATTTGCAAGGTTTTCCAAAAGAAAAAAACATATGCAGCAAAAATGTTATGACAGCAAATCAAAATTATGTAGATTAATGTAAAGAGTTGAATGCTGTCAGCACAGAAGATAGAAACCTACCACTCGAGGCATTTCCTATGGACGTAGATGGCATCTGATGAGTTGCCCTCATCAATGGACACAACTCTTCCCTTCAGATAACGTACCATCGGCCCATGAAACTGAAATTAGTACCCATGAGTTGCCTTCAACACATCAGATCTGCCATGATAGATATAAGTATGTAATATGGATTCAATTGTATTACCAGGCTCGTTCTAAATGAATGACAAAAAACACATTCATCTTCAAATAAATTGATTGGAGTTAGGCTCTTCAATGCAGTAGCACCTCCATTTTCTTCGGACAAGGCACGTTTTCTAGACATATTGATTTCTTTGTATGAGCACTGATTTGGTCCTCCGACTTCTGTCTTGCTTTGCTTAGTGTGAGGGGATGGTGATTCCCCAGAATCTGCCACAGCTTTTACGTTTCCACCTTTCAACGGTGATGCCTTTTTTGTTCTACAACAGAAAGTAGTCCACAAAAAGCTCAACAGATATCTAATTGCATCCAATTCGAAACAATGGTCATCAAAAACAAATGACAGAAAATGTTTACCCGGGTTTGAGGTTGAGAGTCGATTTCTCTTTGATCACGCTTTATCTACATAAGGAGCAGACCTTGTATCTACAGGTTGTAAAGCGGTAACCAACATGAAGGTCAGAATGTAAATTGGTGGACTAGATATGTTTGAAAATTTTTAGACTGGTAACAAACATTAGACTTGCGGCATTTTTTGTGAACAGAAATGTGAAAGGGTTGGTTCTCAACCTACATAGGAAGATATCTTTTAAAGTAAAACATGTTGGGCGGCTGTCTTACCCTTGTAGGATGAGTTTTTTTTTAATGAACCAGAAGCCATGGACGTGTGAAAGAAATACAAACTAAAGTAATGTACTCCATAACTACAGTTCACTGATTACTTGGTGATGAACCTTGGTTACTAAGGGCTTTGATAGGGCTTAGGCTTTACCAAAAACGTCAGGAGAAGCCACATTTTGGTGTTTCTGCTTCATCATTTTTATCTTGGTTTTGGCTTACAAATTATTCTCGTATGTGCTCTTTTGTGAGGGCTTTTGATTAAGCCTGTAAAAAAGCCACGACAAAAGAACTGCCAAAAAAAGGCCTTGTACTACTGATGGTAATATTGTTGGACAAAAATCTGAACATGTCAAGGTCCTTGAGAAAAAAGTCCATGGCCAGAATTTCTCCTAAATTTGACAAAGAGAAAACAAAAAAAAGGAAATGTCTAATCAACAACCGGTTGTTTTAGCCTCTCTCATCAACCAAATTTTTCTCATACACTTACACTGTCTTATAGTTATATTTACACTGCTTTATTATTATATTTACAATAATTTCTTCAGTGTAATTTATTGAAAAGAGTGATGTAATTTAGGAATAACACAAATATATGCCAAATTTTTCAAAAAGATTTACAAATTATTTCTATGAATTCCAGAGATTAGAGAAATATATATCAAATTATTCACAAATTCTTTAGAAATTAAAAAAAAAACAAAATCCACACAAAGAGGTGAGAGAGGAGAGATTGTCGCATGGTGTTCCGTGCTCGCGTTTGTGTGTTAGGCAGGACACAGGCACCGGCACGATGATTGCTTGCTTGACGTTGAAGCGGAGCAGACGCACGCACAGGAACGCATCGCACGCACGCGCCAGAATAATCGCAGGCGGGGAGAGGCCACATCGCACGGCAAAAAAAAACGGTTGATAAAATCAACCTGTTGATCATTAGCCTTTCTAAAAAAAAGCACTTGGTCGAGGGAAAACTAGCAAGAAACGTGGCCGTGTACACAAATCTAGTGCAGTAGTTGCGACGCCTCAGATCCCGTCACAGCTCGCTCGCAGCCATGATCCACTGCACCGGTGCTCCTCACGCCACAGGGCGACACGCGAGTCGACCGCCACGAGACCAAAAGCAGAAGCAAGAAACTGAGAAGACGAAGAGGCGAGGTGGTGGAGGAACGGACCGGAAGCGTCGGCGGCGAGCGGGGTGGTGCACTGGCTCACCTCACCTGGACAGCGGCGATCGCGCTCGCGCGTCCGGCGTCCGCGAGATGAAAGCCGTCGGGCTCGGGCCCTTGCCCCTCCTGGCCTCCTCACCTCTTACCTCCTGTGGCCGCAGCGCATGTTTAAACTGAAACCTTGCCGGCTTCGGTTCAGTAGGCACAAACGAGGGTGGTGGCTGAGCTTCTGAGCTACGGGCGCTATTTGATAGCGGCGCACGCGTGGCGAATGGGCACTGGCCTCGAGAGAATCCCGTGCTACTTGTACCGGGGCCTAGATTAGATCGTAAGTTTTTTTTACTCTCTCTCCATCACATCAAATCTTTCATATATGTATGGAATATTAAATATAAATAAAAAAAAACTAATTACACAGTTTGATTGTAAATTATGAGACGAATTTTTTGAGCCTAGTTAGCCCATAATTAGACAATAATTATCAAATACAAACGAAAGTGCGTTACAGTGCCAAATACTGATTCCTAACCCCAATCTAAAAAAAGGTCCGTCAGTGACTCTCCGATCCCCTCGTCTTGGCTGGATTGGAGTAGAGGGGTCAGGTCTCACTTCACACTCTCCCGTGCACCCCTATCCCAAAATAAATATTGTTATTGCTTTTGAGGAGTCAAATATTTTTAATTTTAATAAAATATATATTAAAAAAATTAATATTTATAGTGATGTAGACGAGGTTCAATCTTACGATAGGTTTGATATCGTTGATTGGTGCATAACTCAACCTTCACTATCTAGGTTTAGAACAAAGTCTAATTTGGACCTCCAAAATTATTACACCACTGCTCCGTTGATTATCAACTACGCACAACGACATAAGCAAGAACAAGATGAACACAATCTGAAATTACAAAAAATAACGAGATAAACACAATCTGAAATTGCAAAAAATATGAAGCTTATGATACTGAAAATGAGTTTAAATCTTTATTCGAAAGGACTAATCGCCACATGCTAACAAAATCAAGAACATGGGTCCTGGTTCACAGCAAGTGATCTTGGTGATATAGTTACAGCAAACAATATTTGTTTCACAAGTAAAACAAGAACGCAACAAACTCGAACCCTAGCAAGAGCAACGACGGATAATTAAAGAGTCTTGGGCGTCACCCCCTAGATGCATCCCCTAATGGGCTCTAACACAATACACGGCCCAATGGACCAAAAGACGATATCGCAGCACCATAGCATATTCTAAACACTGACTTGTTTCGACGATTTCTATTGAATCTGGACGATTCTGACGCGAAGCCAAAGCAATTGGTTAGCTTTTCAATTTGTCTTTCATGGATATGTGGATCATTCAAAACGGAGTCTATATGTGCCATGGGTGTTGATTTTACTCGGGACTACTCCTAGAATCCAAGAGGGACTCCAACTCGAGTTGACTGGACCTCCGCCATGGTGTAGACGAGTTGGATGCCCATGGTGGTCCTCCTCTCCTTGGATTGTACTTAATGGGTGAAGTCCTCATCATATAATACATAATAAATTTATTTGGAGACACAAATGCTGCTAATATTTTCTACAAATCTAGTCGAACTTAAGAAAGTTTGACCGACACACATAGCGACATTTATTTCGGGACAAATGGCTCTCCTCTGTCTTTTTAGGAAATACTAAGATTTTTTAAATTTGGTGTCATCTAATAAGCTAGCAGGTAACTAAGCAAAATAACAACTTAAACTGCTTCTATCCTAATCAGTGAGGGACGTGGTGGTCTTTTGTCAAGCTCTTTATTTTGCCTGAAAATCACTATGTTCTCTTATAATTCGGGACGGAAGGAGTAATAGAGACTAATGAATTTGGTATCTAGCAGTCAAATGCCACAACTAAGGACTATCTCCTTTTTTTTGCGAATAACTAAAGAATATCTCTAGAAGACAAAATTCAATAGTATCCATCAACAAATATCAACATTGAAATTTCCATGGAGCAAATTTATCCGATTCTAGGTTCTAACTTCCAAGAGGCCCAGACTGAAATGAGATTGGCTGGAGTCGAAGTTGTCGGGTTCACTCGCCCAATTCATATGGAGAAAATTCCCTATTGAGCATCGAAATATGACATGGTTCTTATTTAGCATCCAAAGATAAAATTTTCTCAATATAACATTGGGTTTATTTTTGGTTCTCTATATACACTGTCGTTAGATGTGGTTTCTAACACCATCAACTATGAGAGGAAAAGACCAGATTACCAATATTTTCATGTGCTGCCACAACACTATGTTAATAGCTAAATTTTATTGTATGGATTTTTTTGACAATATCATTTTATTACAAAATTAAACATTTTTTTACAATACAATTTTTTTGGACCATGAAAATTTTTTGGTAGTACAATTTTTTGCACACATTATTTATGACAATTCTTAATGTACGCTTGGTACGGTAAAAATTATTTATTATCCACAAAATTGTATAGCCATAAATAATATGCGCAAAAAATGTACTGTAAAAAATATTCGTGGTCCAAAAAAGTTGTATTAACACAATGTAATAAAATATCATTGTTAACATGTTGATGGTGCTACAGATGAAATATGGGTAAAATGATCTTTTCCCCTCATACTTGAGGGTGTTAGAGGTCACATCTATCGGCAGAGCTTTGTAGGGACAAAAAATAAACACAATGCTATATTAAGAAGATTTTATCTTTCGATGCTAAATAAGGAACCATGTCGTATTGTGATACTAAATAGGGAATTTTCTCATTCATACGACCCTGAACTTGTTCCTCGGCAACTCAGAAAGAAACGAGAACTGGTGTAACAGATCTAATACAATCAGATATCTATGGCTACAGTAAATCTCAGATTCAGTTATAGATATTTCAGATAGGATATGACGGCGACATCATGTATATCCAAATTTTAGTATTCAAATAAGGTTACGGTATGGATACTAAATCTTTAGATTCGAACCGATACATTTCCTACGGATTGTCAAGCCCTTGATCGGTTGGTCGAAAAAGTATTGGTATGGCTCGTGGGTGACAAATCAAACAAAAATAAAGGAAATGCTAGCGCACGGACGTCCGATGGGGATGAATTCCATCGGATGCCCACTCGTATGCCTGACAAGCCCGCCCCAACACCTGACCCGCCCCAATCCACGCACCCTCCCCATCCGTCTACCCCCCCATGCAGCGCACCCCACCCCATCCCCATCTGTTCACCGCAGCGCAGCGCCCCGCCCGTCGTGCCCCGACCGGCCGCCCCCCCAGCGCGTCGCATGCTACGTCCGCCAGCCACCGGCTCACTGCGCCATATTCCCCGGTGCCCTCTAACTCTCCGAACACCAAGAAACACGTGCAACATGAAACACTTGAATGCAACATACGTCTGAAACAGATGAAACATCTAGAATATACACTTGCAACATATGTGTAAAAACATATGCAACATCTAGATAGAACACTTGCAACTTACGACATGAAAACACTTGCTGCAACAGAAGACTGAAATAGATGAATTTTTTTGGAACATACTGTTGCAACATATGTGTGAAAACATATGCAACATCTAGATAAAAAACATGCAACATATGTCTAGAAACAAATGAAATAATTTGAACAAATGGTTGCAACATGTCGGGGTTATAACCCCGGG